CAGTTTAAAAAATTCGAAATTGAAATGGATAGTCTAGGGAACATACTGTATTAATGTACTCTACTGCATATAATTTGTGAACATTTACATGATATGTACACTTTGAACTCCCTTTCAGGCTGAAAGGGACTGAAAAAATTCATACCGAGAGATTCTTTTAATTCCTCTCATATATATTCTATTCTCTATGGATGGTGCTGATCGCACTTTTTCTCAAGACATTAAAAATTTATACCTGCCTGCATATCTATATATATATATTATCTTTGGGAATAGCCTTAGGGCAGGGTTAAAACCAAGGGAGGGGGGAATAGCCCTAGGGCAGGGTTAAAGCGAAGAGAGGAATGGATTGAATAGGAAAAGGGATCGAGTGTACTGGTATAAGTCAATATTATGTTTATTGTATATAACGATAATAGATAAATAAATAAACATAGATAGCTTATGTACGCAAAATCACCAAGAATTGTTCAGTCCGCGAACTCATACTTCTAGGGGTCAAAGTGTACTTCAATGAAGCGGGGTGGTTTGGTGTTTTAATGGATTTCATAATTATTAAACCACTCAGGAGTGATATTTTTTTCACTGAGCAATATATCATATTGACGAGAACTGAAGAAGGACATGAGAAAAACTAAACCAACTTAAATTTCTTTTTACAGAACTCATACCACAAGTACTCAATGACATAAGAACAGCTAATGTTCACAACCGACCTATGTTAATCTATATAATAGGAATATCTTTAAAACATCTCTGTACATTAACATCTTTCAAAGATCTATCTGTAATTTTGTAAAATGATTTTTTTTTAATTGGTTCAATTCCTAGAAACAATTATGACATCTATAAAATGTACTGTTAAAAATGATGATGCAAGCAAAAATGAGTAAAAGTGTTAGTGTTAGTTCCACTTTTTAAAAACATATTTCGGTCTGCAGGTTGCAGGTTGACCAGCTCATCAGTTCTTGAGATTTGTTTATGTCAGGAATGAAATAAGCAGCCTTTAAAGCTGCTAAAATTTATTTTATATGTTTATTCATGTTCTAATTTCCATGCTTATCGACTCTCTCTGTGTTATGATCATGCATTGGAAAATGGAAGAAGAGGCATTAATTTATAATAAAGAATCACGAAAAATCGTAAATTATGATTTTTTAATATATATATAATCATATTTTTCATAACATAACATTGTTATCTAGAGTATTATTAATGATATAAAAATATTTTAATTATACGAACGTTATAGAGTGATATGGGAGGGGGGGGGGGGGGGG